AAATGTGCTTTCTGAAACTGCCGGGTACATCAAAACTCCCGAGGGAGATTTTAAATCTGCTTCCTTCGTCTTCAATCCATTCCCTGAATGTTCAGATTATTTTGACTTAAAACTCGCAGAGGCGTATTTGCATACTTCCATTCTCCACAGTCCCTGCAGCCGGGGGAAGTTCCATTCAGTGGATAGCAGCAGTAGAGGGTCAAACATCCAAAGTGACAGCACGCTCTTGCGCCCTCCCACAATGGCCCTGTGAATGGGGAAACTGAGGCAGGGTCAAAAGCCCGGAGTGTTGGGCTCGGAAGCCTGGGCTGTCAGTGGTGCCCTCTACCATCTGTAAAGCCTGGTGAAGAATACAATTTAGATTAGGTTAGCACAGGGGGCCTATCAGATCTGATCATTCCAGGGGGGCAGCAGTGACAGCCAGGGTTAGGAGGGGGCCCTGCGCCTCTGGCAGGATAAAGCAACAGGAGGAAAAATGAGAAATCCTTTGTTTTTCTTTTTCAACTCATTAAGGCTTGTTGAGGGTAGCAAGAACCTCATTTTTTTTCTTCCCATGACTTCTCTTTCATTTTAACAGGGAAACACGCATTTCAAAGACGGCTCAATAGCCGCGTTGACGTCTCCAGTTCAATCACAATGTCCCCATTGTGGCTGGGGACTCCCTGGCCTTTAAGCTTGGGTTATAAAAATTTGGTCTGAGCCCAAAGTCTGGCTTTAATAGAATATTTTAATTTTGTTTAATGAATATTATTTTAAATCTATTTGGCAGTTTTAAAATGTGTTCTTTTATTTTCAAATTAAAATTTACTCGAGTTCAGTGCTTTCTGCAGGGGGGCGGGGGGCGTGGGGGTGATGATAATACAAGCTACCATTTATTGAGTGCTTACTATGTGCCAAACGCCCCGCTATGAGCTTTACATGTGCCACCTCATTTAACGCCCACGGCCACCCCATGAACAGCAGCCACTGTGCTGCTCTCTGGGAAGTCGAGAGGGTCAGAACTGGGATGTCAGCGTTAGTGAGCTCTGCAGTAACCAAGACTTGGGCCAGCTCTGAGGCCAGGGCCTGCGCTCTTGACCACACCCTGCAGCCTCCCCATATGGACCAAGAGCCTCACAGTACATCACTGGTCTGGTATGCAACTGCAATTCCCCATCATCTCAGGAGCTAGCGGGTTCAATGTGGGTAAAGCACAATAGCAGAGCTTGCAGTTAATAATAATAATAGCAACAACAGTAGCTGACATGGATCCAGTACATACTCTTGCCCGGCACAGTTCCACACACTGTATATTTATTAAGCCAATCTCCACAACAAATCTCTGAAGAAGGTACCCTATCCTCCCCTCTGTTGTACTGATGGAGAAACTGAGGCACAGAGAAGTTTGGTGGCTTGGCCAAAGTTAAATAGTTGGTAAACACCAAGCAAGGACTTCAGTCCAAGCAGCTGGGCTCCTGGCTCACGCTCGGAATGTCCTGGTAAGTCAGCACCAAGGCTCACGTTCAGGAAGTCTCGCTCTCCAGGCTCCTGCCCACTCCAAACCACTCTGCAAGGAGGCATCGCACAGTCTGGGGTGCGGGGAGGCATGGCCACGTGCCATAATGCCCAGTGTGGTTGTAGGCTTGGAACACAGTGCATTGCTCTCATTGAACTGATCATCAAGAGAAAAGCGACAGAGTACACCAGAAAGGTCCTGAGTTCGGTCCCTCTCACCTCTCGATCTGCAGTAGTCACAGCTGGAGGAGTACCACCGAATAAAGGGAAACAAGAAGAAAGGCCTTGGTGATCTCTCCCCATCACCATGGACTGCATCAAGCACCCAGATAAACAATAAATCACGGGCATGGTTTATGAAATGTCCCACGCAGATGCTCTTCCTTATCAACAAAGTTCGTCTTGTCGTACTGCAATAGCTCAGCTCCGCTAATTTTTCTGGACAGGGCCAGGTAGCCGTTCTCTGTGGGCCATGTGGCGCTGCAGTAAGTGGTCAGCCCTGCCTTTACAGCACTGCACAACACAGCAGCCACCAGCAGGGATACAGCCGCTTGTCACCTTGGCAGCTGCCAGCCCCAAGCACCCACCCATGTCTATCAGCGTGGGTCCAAGATTCTGTGAGAAGTAGCTGATTTCTCCTACTTTCTGATCCCAACTCCTATACCTGAGCATCAGTTAATATCCATACAGCAGGGGCTGGGGATTTAGCTCAGCGGCAAAGCACTTGCCTGGCAAGCGCAAGGTCGTGAGTTCGGTTCCCGGTACCGGAGAAAAACCAAAAAAAAAAAAAAAATATCCATACAGCGACAGGAGTGGAGACTTGACTTTAAATTCCAGCTGTCCAGGGCAGACACGCAGACGGTGAGCTCTTATTACACCAGGTGGTGGGCTGGATGCCCTAGTGGTTAGATATCAAAACCAGACTTAAGCCTGTGTCTGATACAATCCATGTGACCTTGGACATGTCACTTGACCTCCCTGAGACTCAATTTCCACATAATAAAATAGAGGATAATAACACTACCTCCTACCCACCAGTATTTGGACAGAAAACAAACTACTTCCTTAGCACGGTACCTGGCACATAATAAATGTTCAATAAATACAGGCAACTTGTTATGGCCAAGCAAGTCTCACAGCTTGCGTCTTTTTAAAAACAAAAGAAAAACTAATTCACTGAAAATAAGCACAGGAATGGTTGACAACATTTCCAGAACCAGGTTCTTAAAGGTTCTCCAGGGGTTCCAGGGGTTCAGAAACTTCTTCACTCTTGATCAAACCACTAGCGATCCCCTAATCTCCCTGGGCCTCGCCGCAAAGTCTGCATCTATGTTCTTTCTTGTGGGTCCCTGAGCAATGCTCAGACATTCCAAGTGTTTCAGACGTTTGCTGAGTTTAAGACATTCTTTCTCCTCTCCTTCCCCCACCCCTCCACACCCCGACCATTTACTTCTCCAGGGAGTAATGGTCTGTTTAGCGAGGGGAGGGCACCAGGGAGCTCAGCCCCTTGGCAGACCGGAGGTGAATAATCTTCTGCGCTCCCTTCTCTTTCACAACTAGATGAGGTCAAAATTCTCTGTTGACAACACAGATGCAAGTCACAACTTGTTGGGCCACATGACACCATCCGGGTAGCGAGTCTCAGCTTCCCCCTACTGTACCACTCACACAAAAGGCCAAAGGAGCACGGTCCCCCTCTTCCCCTCCACCCCTTCTCAACGAATCAGGGCATTCAGACCTTGCCGGAGAGAGAAATGTTTCTGAACCAAAAGTCACGATCCATGCAAATAATACACATCCCCTAAGGAAAACAGCCGCTTTGCGCTGACACCTTCTCTGTCTCTCACAAGAGGAGGTTTACTCCCTACACAGAATTCCCATCAGCACCCGGGTTGGTCCCCAAGTTGGAAATGTGCAGACACTGTCTCCATCTGCCTATATTTCAGGCAGCTGCTGCTCAATGACGATATGAAAGTTTATCCTTATACCTTGAACCTCAGATACTAAAAATCACAGTAGGAACAATGGCCAAAAAAAAAAAAAAAAAAAAATTGTTTGGGAGACCATTCATGCCTTAACCACAACATCATTGTAAAAAGGGGATGGGAGATGGAGGAACTGACCACAGGGAAACAGCACATTTCGATCTTTCGCTTCTGCAGATCCAAACACCAGGAAAGAGGGGAGCTCCGGAGGGGCGGAGGGTCCCAGAGCCTGAATTTGCTCTGGAACTGTGAAAGAGAAAGTTCCAAAGGAGTCCGCAGTCCCAGCTCCATCTCCCTTCAACAACTTGGCTTCACTAGTCCTCAGGATTCAAATCACACTGAGATCAGAAAGCCCCTTTCTGTGTCCACTTCCACCCGACACGTCTAACAGGCAGGAATTCTGACTTGGCCGGGGTGCTGAGCACTAGCGGTTTTCGCCCTGTTTTGGTGACCTTCATAGGGCTTATTTATGCACTTCAAGCTCATGACCTAATACATGTTGGTTTGGCTTCTTTTCTCATAATAGCAGCCTGTAAAAAGCTTTTGAGAATTCCCTGTATTTTCTCATTTTGGGTCAAGAAAACAAAATCGATATCTAAGTAACCTTTAAAAAAAGGCCTGCATAATCTAAAAATTTGGAGTGTTTCCACCAGGACTAAGACCATCTCTTACAGCCTTAAGGATCATCAGAGTTAAACTCCACATCTGCCACTCTTAAGGTGAGCTATTTGGTAACCGTGCTTGGGAGAATGAGCGAAGGGGCACTCTTTGACATCAGTCAAACAATGGCATTTAAAACTTACGTTAAAGCAATTACTGTGAAGCATTTTTCCGTGTTTTTCCCATTTCTTAAACAGAAGTGTATATGTTTTCAGCATAGTTTCTCGCTGTAATTTTCTTTCTTGGCAAATCCACATCTTACCATGAAACCCCAAGTATGCACGCTGCAGAAACAATAATGGTGGAAACAGAGCCGGCTGTCTCTGGCATGATTTTTCTTTACAAAATTAAAATGTCTTTTGGCTAATACACTGTATATTTCAGTTCTGAAAGACCGTTCTTGGGAAATGAAGGGAATCTGACACATTCGGCTGCGGCAAGACAAGAGTAAGTTGCTACGTTCAAGCAGTAGTCAGATCCTCCAGTTCCATATTCTTTGGGGGAAAAATATGTCGATTTTATCATCTTTCCTTTAGTTATGTTCCCAGAGAGCTGATCACTCTCCGAATGGCTCCAAGCAGATATGTTCGTATCTGTTACATCTGGGAATGCACAGACTTAAAAACAAAAATCTAACTTTACTGGCTACTCGAAAGGCAAGCAGAGGGGGAGAAAGTCCGATGCCTTTGAAATCACACATATTGTATGCTACTCACTATGTGTTATGACACAACACGATTGCTACTACACGATAAAACAGTTTCCAACCTCTGCAAAGTCCTTTGTCCATGTTTAAAGATGTTTAAATTGGCATTATCATGCATCTGAGTCCCTGCTTTAAATGTCTGTGTGTATCTCAAGGCGGAGACAGACTTTCCAAAATAGCACGAGCAGACACATCTGGCCTGGAACTGCGATGGGGAGAAGGCGATGACAGCGTGGACGAAGCCTGCGTCCTGGAGTTGGGGCCGTGGGCTGAGGCCCTCTGCTCCATCCTGCGGGCTCCCCGCAAGTGACGCGCCTCTCCCCAAAGACCCCCCCTCCAACCCCACTGACCCGCAGCCGCCTGTCCCAGACTCAGGTCGCCCATGGCCTCCCTTCATGTTCAAAGAGGCAAAGACGAATTGTTCCGGTTACCTGACTTTCAGGGCCACCTGTTCCAAATTATTCTTTGCTTTCCAAATGTTTATAATCTACCCCCCGACAACACCCACCCATAACGACCCCGCACCTTCCAGTAAACTCGACTTGAGCTGTGCCTACCGTAATGTTTTAGGGCCTCTCCACTACCGGTAAATTTATTGACTCATTTTAGGGACTGAAAGGCGTAGCGTTAGTATCGAAGGAACAAATCAAATTAGCCCTCGTAAATAAACAGACGTTTCCCTTAACAGACCCGTACCCAACCCGCTAAATATGGTTTGCAAAGGTTCATGTATGTTTTCTAAATATTTAACATGATTTTTCTTCCACTTAAAACAACAGCAAAAAAGTAAAAATAAAAACAGTCAGGCCGGGTTCAGAAAATAGTTTGTTCTGCACATTAAAAACTATCCACACTCAGCGTCTCCCTCCGAGGGGAGTGAGAGCAGAAGTGTTCTCGGAGCCAGTGTTTTCGTAGCACATGCGTAAGGCACATTCTGCAGAAAACCGAAGGCCTAGATTTCATCGGCACTCCGTTTCCCAGTTCACTTTGGTGAGATAATAACACTCAAAGGGCTGGGTGAGAATGCATCCTAAAAATATCTGGGAAGAGTGGACTTTAGGGCTGGCATTCAAGTACTCAATCAATGGCAGCTATTTTGATCCTGATTATGAAATTATAAGTCTGTGTTTTGTAAGCGAGAGGAATGGCAGAGGCACCCAATAGGATGGAAGTGGGCAAAGAAAAAAAAAAAGCAGTAATCATAAATATAAAAGCCTGTGGCTTCTTTTGCCTCTTTTCCCTAGAAACACCGGCAGGTACTTTCCCACCTGGAAACTGACTTCCAATCATGTGTAATAAAGGCCCAGCTCCTGGCCCTCTCCCTCTGGTTCATTTATAGTAAAGACAGGTGGGTCGCCATCCTCAGTCACCATCTTGGGAGTGTCATTTCAAGTATTTGATTCAGGGACCTGAGGGAGGGAGTTTATTCTCCTGGGATTAGAAGAAGGTGTTAGGCGAAGCTATTAGGCCAGCTAAGATCTTCCAGTGGCGAAAATGAAGCATTGTCTCCAGCACATTCTCTGTTAATTGTCTTCCTACCGGAGTCCTCTTGCTGTTTTGCAGGACTGGGCTGTTTGAACAGTCACGAATGATGCGGGGAGCCGTGGGGGGTGGGCTGAGGCCTTCAGGAAGCTGCTCTGACACTGGTGGATGGGGTTCAGGAAGAGGGCTGGGAGGGAGTGAGGAATTTTTGTGTCTCTGCGTGTGTTTTCTGTCAACAAGCCGTGTTTTCCCAACTCTAGGGTTAATTCTCTGTGAAGACATTCCCCTCCAGCAGAGTCCACCAACTCCCTTTACAGAGCAGCTAGCTAGGGAAAAACTCTCCTCCGCCCAGCAAAATCCACCCTTGGCAACAGAAAGTTCAGCCTTTTGAGGCAACTGGCTAATTGGCCTCCCCCTCCTCTCCACAAACCCCACAGATCAGGACTACAAATTTAGCAGAGAATTCACCCTGATCAGAAGTCACCAGGAAGGGAGTTCTTCTCTCCCCTACATGAGCTGTGTCAGGATGGACAGTCTGGATTTTTACCTGGTGCCCTGGTGAAGTCCCTTCCCACGTGACTAGCAGCCTTCAGCTTTTGTACAACGCGTGCACCTCAGTCGGGCCTGTAGACACTGCCTAAAGTCTATGCTTGTGCTTCTCTCCTGAACATGCTCTATGTGAAGGAGGCCTGCCCAGCCCAAACCCGCACCCAGATGTAGCTGCCACCAGCTCCTTGGAGAAGACATTGGGCATGCATGTTCAGGGACAGGCATGCGTCTAAGCAAGATCTCTCCTTTGCTTGCATTTTTTCCTGACCGCCACGGGTGTGCTCTCTCTCCCAGAAAGGTGTCCGTCAGAAGCAGCTGGGAACCCGCTCCTTCTCCCTCCCAGCCTGTGATTTTATTATACAAGGAGTTTATTGCTGGCCTAATTAGTTTCAAACTGGGCAGTCCAGCTGAGGACACCTAAAAAACATCTGGTGAAGGGAGAGAGAAAGAGCCCGCGTTCCGAGCTGGTTATGGTTGGATTTCTGCATAGCTCTGGCCTCTTGCGCCCAACACTAGTTATCTTTGGAAAAGTAACTGAAAAAATAAGGAAACCGTTTCTTCTTTGTGGGAAAGGAGTCATCTCAACCTAGGGGAACCAAAAATGTCTTAAAGCAGACGTTCTTAGACTGTGTATGCGTCTTCACACACTGCCAGGGTCTCCATAGCTCGCTCAACCTAATTCAAAATGTACTTAGCTACACCACAGGGCCTTTTGCTAAGGGCTTCTCTGTTCCCTCAACGGCAACTAGCATTTTATCAATTTATCTGTCTGGAACAAGGCTTGCGATCTCTTGCATGAAATTTAAAGCAGAAGTAATACTGCATACTTGAAACAGTGTGTCTGGGGTATTTTTGCCAAATGGTAATCTTATAACAAGTCAACAAATCATAGCAGTTTGTGATGTGTTTTATCACAACACACCAAAAAAAAAAAAAAAAAAAAACAAAAAACAAAACATAGAAAGAAGAATCTAGAACTTAAATGATTAAAAGATTTTTTTTTAAAAAAAATCTCAGAGAATCTTTTAATTTTATTTCCTCTAGTTACTTGGTACTAGGAAATTGATTAATTTGTTTATGGTGTATTCTTACATATACACAGGCACTACACTAGGTGAGCTATTTCAAGACAGAGGAAAAACATGCCAATTCCTTTAACATAAAATAGTTAATAATGTCATGAAGCTAAGGTTACAGGAGAAGACTGAGGACACACAAACTGTTTTAAAAGAAACTGAAATGCTCAAGTTCTTGCAGATCTAGCCGTATTAGTTTCTTTCACAACTGCAAAATTTAGTTTTCCTCTAAAGGTGAGGAGATTTTGAACACAAACACGACTTCATGCTCTGTAAAAAGCAAGATTCAAACCATTATCGTTTGTTATATAAATGATCCATTAATTTTTACCAGTCCAAGGATGGCTAAATTCAAGGAAATATTAAGCTTGGGGGGTTTAGGGTGATGCAGAAAGGATCACCCTAAGTGGGGGAGAAGGTGGAATGAACATTTCTTGAGTAAAATTCCCGGAAAGATTTTTAAAGAAAGAAATAAAAATTATTTTGGAAAGTTTTGGAAAAGTTCTCTCTGCGTCTGTCTCTCTCCCTCTCAGCAGCAGCACCCACGTATGTGTGTGCTAGGTGACAAGATAACAAACAGAGGGGCCACAAGCTAACGCTGTGGCCATCAGCCGGGTACCTACACTCTGATAACAGAAACTTCATTCACGCAAACAAGGGCTCCTGGTTTCAAACACAGCAATTGTCCGCTAGTTATAATTTTCTTTGAAGGGTGCTCCGTAACTCAAATGTAATTCAGCCCTCCGTAACTGAAATGTAATTCAGCTTCTTCCCAGCGGCGTCGGTAAATCATCCTCCTTCCCCCGCCACCCGGCCACCAGCAGGACTGCTACTTTTTGCTCCCTTCCCTGTGCCTCCTCATGGAAAGGCACCTACCTCCACTAGGAGTGATTTACACCTTAACGTTGTATTAAAAGAAGAACTTAGCGGTTACACAGCATCTCGGGGAAAGAGGGGAGAAAAGAAAATGGTATTCAAAGTTTTGCAGCACCAGCCTTGCTTTGAAAAAAAAAAAAAAAAAAAAAAAAAAAATCCAATACAGAGCGCAGTAGGCGCGCGCTGTCAACCCAAGCCCAGCCGCGGCTTCGGGATAAGGAGCCTGGCGCGCAGACAGCGCTGTGCCGATTTCGCGATAGGCGTTATTTTCGCCACTCACAGCTTCCTAATATTCCCTGTGCTTGGAAACTATTTGGGGGGCAGCAAATGCATTTCAGGAGCTAGGCCGGCGCGGCCATTTAACCTCCCGATTGCAAGATTAGAAGTTCCATTCCCCGCGTCCTCCCATTCCCACAAAACCCTCGCCTCCTGCACGCACTGCTGATGTAAAGTTTTCTGTTTCACCTTCAACTTCAGCGGGACAGTCCGCTCCGCGGCAGGAGCCTGGGCTGCGCCCGCGCGGGCAGAGCGCAAACGGACTTTCGCAGAGATGAGCGGCGAGCGAAGCCCGAGGCCCCATCCCGGGACCCCCGCGGTCTGCTCCGCTCCCCGGCCACCCCATCAACGCTGCCGCAGGGCGCGAGTTTGTCCCTCGGTTCCCCAAGCCTCTTGGATCGGATTAGGAGAGCCGCTCGTCGCTTAGTCCCCGGGTCGGCAGTGGAAGGAAACGCTGCGGACCCGGCCGCGTCTGCACTGCCCGCGCGCCGTGCACTTGTCCCGCGCGCGGAATGCAAACTTCGGAGCCGCTGCTCGCAGCGTCCCCAAGCGCGCGGGGACACCGGAGCGTGCAGCCGCGAAGGCGC